TCTGATCTGTTCGGCTGCCCTGGACTCCGATTCTGATCCATAACCCAGTATCCTCGGTGCTCACAGAGCCTGCCCTGGTGTCCCCTAGGTTCAACATGCCGCATGACGACAACAACAAGTGTAAAGAAGAGGGTGTCAAGAGCCCCCAGCACGTCATGGCACCGACACTGAACTTCTACACCAACCCCTGGATGTGGTCCAAGTGCAGTCGGAAATACATCACCGAGTTTTTGGAGTAAGACGCCACTTTCTCTTAACCAGGTTCCTGGGGCAGATTCCTAGCCAGTGTTCAGAAGGTCAGGGCAGCGCCGAGGAGGAGCCTGGGGTCTGAAAGGGAACGTGTGGCCCGTGGCCCAGTTGGGCTTGGACATGTGTGGCCACCTGGGAAGAGGCCCTGTAAAGGCCTGAACGAAAGCCACCCACATCTCTGCACCTGTAGCTTAGTGACCTGGGCACAGGAAGGAAGGGATCAGGAGATGATCCCCAAGGGGATAGAAATTGGAGCAGCCTCCGTGTTGTTGAATGGAGGGTGCGTGTCTCTCCTACTCTCCTTACCACTCCCCTTCCCTTTTTATCTGTCTTTCCTTTTCCTGTTTTTGTTTGTTGGTTGGTTTGTTTGGTACCAGGGATTAAACCCAGAGGCACTTAACCACTGAGCCCCATCCCCAGCCCTTTTTATATTTTATTTAGAGACAGAATCTCGCTGAGTTGCTTGGGGCCTCGATGCTGAGGCCACCTTTGAACTCATGATCCTCCTGCCTCAGCCTCCTGAGTTTATTTAATTATTTATTTTTAACTTCCTATTCAGCTGCTCAAAGATCCAGTTTCATTATAAAATGCCCCCATGTCACAAATATATTGGTCTTCTCTCCCAGTTACCAAAAAGCACCAAAGTTAAAGCAAAAACCCCAAGTCTCTGGCCTGTTTCTGCCACTATAGGGAATGGGTGGATTTCTTCATCAGAACTCAGGGGTGACACTTTCCCAAAACAGGGAAAACATCATTTGCCAAAAAAAAAAAAAAGTGAAAGAACTGGAGGATTCCATTTTTCTTCTTCAGCAGGGGATGTTTTCTTTCTGTGAGTCACTGATTTACTTACTTTTCCCTTTGGCAAATACTTATTAAGCACCTGCTGCTGTGGACCGGGCCCTGCCTTCGACTATAAGAAGCTTACAGTCTTTTGGGGAAGACGATCAAAAAATAAGCTGATAACTGCCTCCAAGTGCAACCAGTGCCCTAAGAGATTCATACTTCCTGTATGTTGTATGTAGATCTGGTTCTAGAAGTATATACCAAGGATACTGCTCCAACTTCTGGATTTAAGATGGATGAAAAGAATAAAGCCGGCTGCGGTTTGGTGGCACTCACCTGTAATCCCAGAGGCAGAGGCAGAAGGATCATGAGTTTGAGGCCAGCCTCAACAAGTTAGTGAGGCCCTGAGCAACTCAGTGAGACCTTGTTTCTAAATAAAATAAAAAATAGGGCTGGGGATGGGGCTCAGTGGTTAAGCACCCCTGGATTCAATCCCTGGGACCAAAAGAAAATAAAAAAGAAGAAGAAAGCCAAGATCAAAAAGGAACTGTCCTCTCCATTGGACTGGGGGTGTGGCCTCCACGTTGAGGGGACCTTTGTCAGTCCCTCCTCTTACCTTCTGTGTGTCTCTACTTCCTGTAGCACCGGGTATGGCGAGTGTCTGCTTAACGAACCCGAATCCAGAACCTACCCCCTGCCTCCCCAGCTGCCTGGCCTCCTTTACAACGTGAATAAGCAATGTGAGCTCATCTTTGGCCCGGGTTCCCAGGTGTGCCCATACATGGTGAGTGTTTGGGGCTGTTTCTGTCCTCATCACATTTGGGACGTCTTGCTCTGCCTGGCTTCCCATTAGCTTCTCACTCGGCCCAAGGACAGTCAGACATGCAGTTGGCACTTAGAGTGATCACTGTGCTGATGGTATCAGTCACAGCTCCATATGTTGGCGCCCTGTGGCATCTCTTATTTTCCCCTCCTGACTGGCCAGAAGGGACATGCTATTGCAAGTGTGAGGTGGGGTTCCCAGGGGGGCAGGGGCAGAGCTGGTAATCCCAGAGCTTGAGTGTTTCTCTCTCCTTGTCTTCTCTCATGCCCTCCTCCGACTTGTCCGAGTGACTTACAGCGATTCAGTAAGGATGACACAGGAGGCAGACCTGGCTGTTCCTCTAGCTTGCCAGCCTTGGGTCCTGGGTCCACTTGGAGCTTCAGATCCTTTCTGGTGGTTGCTCAGCCGGGCTGCTGTGGTTTGTGCCGTGAATGTCTGGACCAGTGATATCATCTAGGGGTGACTGGATAGAAATGAGGAGAATGGTGCTCCTGTGGGTTGCCCCCTTCTGTCCCTTTGGGGCTGTGTGTGTGTGTGTTGCTGGGAGACCCTTCAGAGGTTGCAGAGTAAGTTGCAAAAAGTACAGTGATTCCATGGAAATAATTTAAAAATTTGAGTCACTCTACCTTAATAATGCCCATTTATATATTACCCATGATGACACGAATTAAGAGTCATTGACTCTGAGGCAGGAGGATCACGAGTTCAAAGCCAGCTTCAGCAACTTAGTGAGGCCCTGAACAACTCAGTGAGAACTTGTCTCTAAATAAAATACAAAATAGGGCTGGGGATGGGGCTCAGTGGTTGAGTGTCCCTGGGTTCAATCCCTGGTACCAAAAAAAAAAAAAAAAAAGAGTCATTGAAGTGTTAAACAAAAGAAAGGTAAGCATATTTTAGTATCTCCATTTAGTGAAATATTACATAGCAGATGAAAATGATCTACACAAGACACATGTTCCTGCTCATGTAATTTAAGTTAAAGAAAAGGATGAATAATTGCATAGAGTGTGTCTTCAAGTCTCAAAGAGGGGGAAAAGTGACAGGGAATGGGCGGAGAGCTTGAGGGACTTTTTTTCCCCTATTTTTCAGAGTATATATTTAGTTCTTTCTTAATTTTTCTACCATAAGCCTGATTGATTTTGGTTTATTTTAATAATTAGGAAAAATATAAATTAGAGAAATCTTTTTTTAAAAAAAAGTATGCATTGAAATAGCTAAAATAAATCTTTCTTTTAAATTTTTTTATTTTCTAGTTGTAGTTGTTAATATCTTTATTTATTTATTTATTTATCTATCTATCTATCTATTTATTTATTTATTTTATGTGGTGCTGAGGATTGAACCCATGGCCTTGTACTCGCTAGGTGAGCGCTGTACTGTACCGCTGAGCCACAACCCCAGCCCTGCTAAAATAAATCTTTAAAACATAGTATTCAAAGGAAGAACAATGTTTCAGAATGTATCAAAATCAGTTTGTATGAAGCTTAAATGCTGTGTAACTGCTAGATTTTTATGCTGTTGTGTAAAAACTTTGGGACCAATGAAGTCATCATCAATCAGACTGGGTCACCTCTGCAGAGAGGGAACAAGGAAGAGACCCAGAATGGGTACCAAAGGTTTTAGCTTACCTGTGAACTCTTCTTTCCTTAACAGGGCAGTGGGTACATTGGTATCCATTATGTTATTTTTTTTCTTTTGTTCATTTTTATTTGTTCTTTCTTGAAAAACGTGATAGTAGAGTATATCTTGACATATCATACATACATGGAGTATAGCTTATTCTAATTAGGATCCCATTCTTGTGGTTGTCCCTGGTTGTGGGCTCATATATGAACACAGGAAAGTTCTGTCCCATTCACTCCACTGTCTTTCCCATTCCCAACCCCCTCCCTGCCCTTCATTCCCCTTTGTCTAACCCAGTGAATTTCTATTCTCCCTCCCTCCCTTATCTCTGCATATCAGATAGAACATTTTATCTTTGTTTTTTTTGGGACTGGCTTATTTCACTTAGTATGATAGTCTCCAGTTCCATCCATTTACCAGCAAATGCCACAATTTCATTCTTCTTTAAGTTTGAATGATATTCCATTATGTGTATACAACACATTTTCTTTATTCATTCATTTGTTGAAGGACACCTAGGTTGGTTCCATAGTCTAGCTATTGTGAATTGAGCTGCTATAAACATAGATGTGGCTGCGTCACTGTAGTATGCTGATTTTTAAAAGTCCTTTGGGTATATGCTGAGGAGTGGGATAGCTGAATCAAAGGTGGTTTCATTCCTAGTTTTCTGAGGAATCTCCACACTGCTTTCCAGAGTGATTGCACCAATTTGCAGTCCCATCAGCAATGGATGAATGAATCTTTTCTCTACCTCCTCGCCGACATTTTTTGTTGCTTTATTCTTGACGATTGCCATTCTGACTGGAGGGAGATGGAATCTCTGTGTAGTTTTGATTTGCATTTCTCTAATTTCTAGAGATGTTGAGCATTTTTTTGGTATCTTTTTGACCATTCATATTTCTTCTTCTGTGAAGTGCTTTAATGTTACTTTTTAATACTTTGTGTAGGTCTGAAATATTGTACACTATCTAATACCTTCTATCCTCTAACAACCCCTAAAAGCCTTAGAAACGATTCATAATATGATCATGATAGTACATGGCCCTAGTAGAAGCACACACACACACACACAGAGATATACACACACACATGCATGCATGCACTTTGAGTCAGGCCAAACTGAAACACAAATCATATCTGATCACTCCCTAACTCAACAACCAAACTCACACCACACAATTCCCACATGCTCCTTTGTCTCTCTGAATCTCAGTCTCTTCATCTGTATATCTCAAATGCATGGTGAGTCCCCTTTTATGCTACAGTCTATCCTCCCAGGCAGACAGGGCTGCTCAGGGCTGCTTGTTATCACCCTGGGACTATTTCATCATTTAATGAAGGAAAAAAAAATGCCTTTCCAAGTTCCCCTGTACCCTTGGCAAAGCATTCATTGAAAGATTCTGTCTTAATTCCACTGTCTCTTCATTCAACTGAATCGAGCAGGTGCAGTGTAGACGGCTCTGGTGCAATAACGTGGATGGAGCTCACAAAGGCTGCCGGACTCAGCACACACCCTGGGCCGACGGGACCGAGTGTGAGCCTGGAAAGGCAAGTACCCTCCATTGCCTCCCCCCACCCTGGGGCTGCAGAGAAAGGTTCGGGGAGCTTTTGAAAATGTGAGACTCACATGAAGGCATGATCATGACACCAGAGATCATTATTGCATGTAGGGACAGTCTCGCAATTGAACATTTCCCTCGTTTTAGCCGTTCTGAAATCCTAATGCAGTGTACAGGAGTGTTTTTTGGGTTGTTTGCTTTCTGTTTTGAGAGCGGCACTGCAAACTTGATGGAGCATCTCAGAATCAGGAGGTGCAGAGAACGGATTCTGTCCTCTCCTGTGACACCAGGCTCTTGCCAGCCTCTGCTGTTCCCTTTAAGGAGAGATGATCTCACTTGATACATATCCAAGTCCAGATTCTCATGAGCTACTTGTCATGGTTCCCAGTGATTTTGTTAATAACTAAACGAAATCCACTCCTTGTGTGGCCCGGGGACAGCTGTGTCCCACGCACCTAGGGGTATGATTAACTTACCCTCCTGTCCTGTGTACATCAAAAAATCAGAGTCATGAGTTAGTGATATCATCATCCCTCCCCCAAAAAATTTGGTGGCACAAAGTTTGAAAGATAAATCCTGATTCTTTTTTTTTCTTTTTATTTTGTAATTCTGTAAGGATGAATGCATTTAGCATTTACAGTCATCTAGTCACTGGATTCTATTTCTGAGATTTGTCGTCTTTATATGTATGTAGTTCTCCTACCTGTTAGCTGTTTTATCACTTTAATACACTTGTTCTCATCTTCTTTCCTTTTACTTTGTAGAATTATTAGGACCCAGAATGCCTCCTTCAAAGGGATCTTAATTGATGACAGGGTTTTACTCCCACTTCCCCATTTTTTTTTTTTGTACCAGGAATTAAACCCAGGGGCACTTATCCCCAGCCCTATTTTGTACTTTATTTAGAGACAAGGTCTCACTGAGTGGCTTAGGGCCTCTCTAAGTTGCAGAGGCTGCTTTGAATTCGAGATCCTCCTGCCTCAGCCTCCTGAGCCGCCAGGATGACAGGTGTGCATCACCGTATCAGCACAATAGGTCCATTTTAATCATATTCTAGAAGAGTGGCCAAGTCTAGCAGCTTTTACTGAAGGTGTGGGGATGTACAGGTACTCTTAAGATCATGCATTTTGCAAATGCTGGAGAAGGTACCCAGGCTGCACAGGAATGCTTTGTGATTTTTCTTGTTTGGTGTTGATTTCACAGAATTGGCAGTGTGGGCCTCTGGTCTGCATGCCAGCATTCTGACTCCCGTTGCCGCTGGTTAATTTTTTTCTTTCTGTTCTCTCTGCCCTGCTCCCTCCGTAGTAATCCATCTTGAGCTGCTGACACAGTGTTATTTTGATGAATGACTCACTAATGTCTCTTTATTTGCTGTGCTCTCTTGTTAAGTCCATTAACATTTCACTTTAACCCTGTTTTTTGAGTCCAGAGAATCCTTGAATTGAAGTTGGCCTCCACATCTACCTTCCAACCTCTTAGATAGATGCATGGATATAAAATATCAGTTAAATAGTTTGGGAAACTTTTAAGAAAGGCTGACTTTTTTTGGCTCTAGTTCCACCAGCCACTTAAAGCTTTGTTATGATGTAATGGCAATTCCCATATGGAATTATGATTTGTCGGATTTGCCTGGTAAATAGTTTTTTTTTTTTTGTTTGTTTGTTTTATACTGGGGATTGAACCCAGGGGCACTCAACCACTGAGCCTCATCCCCAGCCCTTTTTATATTTTATTTAGAGACAGGGTCTCACTGAGTTGCTTAGGGCCTCGGTGAGTTGCTGAGGCTGGCTTTGAACTCATGATCCTCCTGCCTCAGCCTCCTGAACTGCTGGGATTACAGGCCTGCTCCACTGTGATTGCCACTGTGCCCAGCCAGTTTTTTTTTTTTTTTTTTTAACATATTTCCAAAACATCCCCAGCTTGTATCACCCTATTTCTCTGAGTTTCTTTCTCTGTTTTGGATTCCTGGTAGCTAGATGGGAAGGCTGAATTTCACCTTGATTTTGTGTTAGTTAAGAATTTTGTTCAGGTTCAATCCAATTATTGTGTTTTAAGCAAATTGCCTCTTTATATGATACAAAAACTAGACAAGTTATGGAGCTATTATGTGGCTCATGCCTGTAATCCCAGCAGCTCGGGAGGCTGAGGCAGGAGGATTGTGAGTTCAAAGCCAGCCTCAGCAACTCCGCGAGTCTCTATTTCTAAATAAAATATAAAAAAGGGCTGGGGATATAGCTCAGTGGTTAAGTGCCCCTGGGTTCAATCCCCAGTACCACCCTGCCAAAAAAAAATAGAGAGAGAGAGAGAAGAGAAAAAGAAATGAAAGTGTTAGGGGCTGGGGTTGTAGCTCAGTGGTAGAACACTTAGCATGTGTGAGGCCCTGGGTTTGATCCTCGTACCACATAAAAATAAATAAAATAAAGGTATTGTGTCCATCTACAACTAAGGGGAAAAAAAGAAATGGAGGTCATGCTAGTCCCTTATCTGAAGGGCTGGAGGTCTGAAGGGGCCCAGATTCCAGAGTTTTCTTGGACAGTGGGATATTCACATGCACGTAGTGAGCACCTTGGTGACGGGACCCAGGTCCTGTGCACCTTGGACACACAGATTGAGGACAGTCATCCACAATATTTCTGGTCTCCCTTGGTTCTGATCAGCACCCATCATGTCAAGTCCAGTGGGGAACGGTGACCATGGCCTCGTGTCCGCCCTTAACAAGTCTGGGATTCGGGGCCTTCTGGGTTTTGCGTTTTGGAACTGAGATAGTCAGCTTGCTCAGAGCAGTGCCTGGCCCCAATCCTACCTAAGCTGTACCCTGTGCCCAGCTGTTCCCAAGGCCTCCTGTCATCAGACCCGGGTCAGCCTGGGCAGAGGGACTCCCTTTCCAGCTGTGAACACGGACTCCCACCCTGCCCTGGGCCACAGAGCCAGTTTCCAGGAGCCACTGCCACAGCCAGGCCTGCTGACCTGTTGACTTTTGGCCCCAGGCTGCTTGGTCCTAGGTGTGGCCACGTGTGGCTACCATGCACTTGAAATGCCAGTCTGGTCTGGGGTGCACTGACGAGTGAAATACAGCCAGGTTGTGGGCCCTAGAGGGCAAGAGAAAGCTTCCTGCAGTGGCCGCCTCTCATTCTGTCATCAGACCCAGGACATGTGTGAGGCCCTAGGTTCCCTGATACTTTGCAAGTGTTTGAGATATTGGGTGGTACTGAGTATATATCAACATTATGTATTATTTATATAGTGAGAGACATAATATGATGATATATGGTATATATATGATGGTATATGGTATGTGATTATTATAGATCAATAATTATTAATATATATGTTATTATGATGTTATGTGTTGCATATAGTATATGCATGTATACATATACATATACACACATATACATATATGACATACATATCTTATATATCACATATAGTATATGTGTATGCACATAAGTATACATATAATATTTATGTATATCATTCATAATATTTGTAATATATGTTTATTATTTATAATTGTATTATATGTGTGAATATACATATATCACATGTATATTACATCTATATATTCATATATTACATGTATATTATGTGTATAAAATACATATGTGTGTATAACATGTATATACATGGAATGTATGCATGTATATGTAATATATATTTATAATGTTATACATATTAGGTATGTGTATGATTATGCATATATGTGCATATATAATCATACATATGTGTGTATAATTATACACATATATCATACACATATAATATATAAACATATATTAGCAATACAAAAACTATATGTCTATACATTCATATATAACATTTCAAATATGTGATATATATAATGTCTTTCCTAGGCACACATACCTATGATAATGTCTGATTTCTAGATTTGGCATGGTAAGGGATTAACAGCAATAGTTGACAATGAAATAGAAAAATCAAAGTAATTTTTATACTGACTGCATGTAGAATTAATAATGTTTTTAGATATATTGGGTTAAATGCCATTAGGATTTATTTCAATTTTTGTTTCTAAAATGCTTTAGTGTGCTTCTAGAATTCTCTGTCCTCTCTTGGGCCTAGTTAGCTCCTCCTGGGCGGGGGCCCAGCCTGGCACCTCTGCCTCCGCCCTCCAGAGGCGGCTCTGTCCCCCTGAGACCCGTCACACAGCCACAGGCCGCTCCACTCCAGAGATCTGAGAGAGCGGTGGGGTGTCACCCTCCTGCAGCCACTGCCTTTGTCCACTGCTCGGTGACCTCAGCTTTATGTCAAGGCTTGCCACCCCCACAATGGCAGAGGGTCCACGTGGGCCACTCCCTGTCCTGCTGAGGAGTTTAACTTAATTCTATTTTTGTAATATCTTTATTTTTTTTGTTGTTTATTTTTCTGTGGTGCTGAGGACGGAACCCAGGGCCTCATGTGTGCGAGGCAAGCGCCCTGCTGCTGAGCCCCAGCCCAGCCCCTATTTTATTTTTTATGATTCTTTTAAAATCATGGCCTCCCTCCTGCTCTCCAGGCTGCAGAAGCTGAAGCCTTAGTAACAGCAGCAACAACAACAAAGGAATCAACTTTAGGGGACCCTGTGAGGGCCCTTTGTTACTTCCTGATCCTAAGTATCTTCTTGAAGTGAGTTTATAGAAATCATGTAACTACTTTTTCCCCCTCCCTCTTCCCTGGTGAATTAAAATTGGGTTTTCAAATCCAAGGGGAGCTAGACAGGGTCTCACTGAATTGCTTAGAGCCTCAATAAGATTTGGGAGGCTGAGGCAGGAGGATTGTGAGTTTAAAGCCAGCCTCAATAACTTAGTGAGGCCCTGAGCAACTCAGGGAGACCCCGTCTCTAAATAAAATAGAAAATAGGGCTGGGGATGGGCTCAGTGGTTAAGCGCCCCTGGGTTCAATCCCTGGTACAAAAAATAAAGATAAGAAAAGCAGGAAAGCATTGCTATTTTACTGGAGGCCTTATGAATGGAGGTCCATATGCAAATCTCACTCTGTCCTGTCCTGCCTACCACCACCCTGCCAATGTCCACTCCGTTTTTTTCCAAGATGGAGACTTGAGCAGTCTGAAGCTGGCCACTGGAGGTGCCCTGCCAGCCTGCAGCCCCTCACTCAACTGGCTTTTTTTTCCCCACAAGCAAGCTATACCTGAAGACCCAGCCTAATATTAAGATCCTTACAGGGCTAAATCCGCACAGTGCTCACTCTCCCTATAGATGGCACATGCGCAACATTTCATAAACTATGGTAAAGAATAAAGAGATGAGAGAGGAAGGACGGCATGTTTAAGAGGACAGGGTCCTGCAATGACTCCCGGCACCAGCCCTCCCTCACTGTCACCCTTATTAAATACAGCACTGCAAGTATGGATTTTGTGTTCCCAAAGAAATGGAGGTCCCCGCGACTGACGGATCCTGGGGAAGTTGGAGTCACTTTGGAACCTGCTCAAGAACATGCGGAGGGGGGATCAAAACAGCCATCCGAGAGTGCAACCGACCAGAGTAAGTTCTAGAATCATCGTTGCCTGCCAGGGGTGGGGGCAGGGGGCACGGTTGGGGAGCTTCCTGGGGGAATACTTAGCAGGAGGCTGACAGGAACATGGTCCAAGATAGTCAGCAGGTAACTCCAGGCACCTCTCCATCTTCTCCTTATTTAGCCCCCCAGGTCCTTCAGTGTTAGATTGGTCTCCCAAGCAGTTGGGAGGTCTGCTTGGATTGGTGGGTCTGCTTCCTGGTTTTGGCAGTCAGATGGGTCTCAGTGCCACCTGAAGCGTGGGCCAGCTTGCTCATGGAGGGCACACTTACTTGCACAAGGAACTTTTTAAAACATACACAAGGCATATTCATCCAGAGTTCAGTTAAATAACACTGAGATGCCACAAAGGCTCCCAGGATCCTTTATGGCTATGAGCAGCAGACCCCAGATATCCTGGAGCCACAGGTCAGGGAATAATAATAATAATTATTATTATTATTATTATCATTATTATTATTATTATTATTTGATACCCAGGGGTGCTTAACCACTGAGCCACATCCCCAGCCCTTTTTTATATTTTATTTATAGAGACAGGGTCACAATAAATAAGTTGCTATAAATAAGTTATTTAGAGCCTCACTAAGTTGCTGAGGCTGGCTTTGAATTTGCAATCATTCTGCTTCAGCCTCCCAAGCTGCTGGGATTACAGGCAGGCTCCACTGCAGGGAATTACCTTTTGAATCAGTCTAAATTTATAGGCGAGACTCCTGGGGTTCCCATTCCATAGCCTGACTGTGTCCAGGTGGGGAGTTGGCCTACCTCTCAGTTCTCAAGATGTAACCCTGCAGCCTCTGCCAGCCTAGCCTCGCTATCACTTATATGTTC